TTTCAAAGGACATGGCTGGGACAAAGAATATACAGGACAATCCATATTTCTTTAAGAGCCAACGGCCCTTACCCCAAATCCTTAGCCCAATCTAAACCCAAACAAGTCTAACCCTAACGCTAACCCTAGACCTAGCTCTGGATTCGAGACATGCGCACTTCTCCACATATCTGAAATCTGGCAGAGCAGAAATCTGTCGCGGGGCGGTGCCTACCCAGTTATAAATGTACTGTTGTGACGTAAAGCACGATGACGTCTAACGTATCTCTACAACAAAGACTCAAATATGAAACTTTCGTCCTGGTAGATATACACGGCTATTATCACGCTTTGCACAAAACACCAAAACCATAGCGGCTTTGACGAAGGCAGATATGCAGAACATACTTCGATCGCCGGATGTCGCTGCTCTTACACGAGAAACCATCGCTTTGTGATTAGATATATTAACTAGTTCAAAACAGAAAAACCGTTGTTATATGACATTATAGGGCATTATACCTTTGCATCTTTATATGGGTGAATTAGGGGCATGGGACATCTAAAGTTCATAACTCTACCCTAAATTGATAAATACTTCAATGTTCCTAAACCTAGAAGTTCTACAGCTTAACTCTGTATATACGTACACTATCACTTTATTAATTAATGCACTCAGAGTTCTATGTTTACCTCCATTGTTTAGGTCACGCCCCGGACCGATTTTTCAGCCGGACCAGAATTTTCAGAACACCGAACTTCTGGGATTAGCACCCCGAGTAGATGAGTAGTGGTCAACCAATAAGCAAATACGCCATCTAAGACACGGTATGGCATCCCAGACTTATCCTTTATCTAGTACATTCTCATCAATGTACAAAATGTCGATATGATTATCTTCTAGTCATTTTTACTCGGTGAAAGTGGAAAGTCGGATTGTTTGGCTGTCAGCTGTCGATGCAGCTACTAGTATATTGCGCCCTCTAGCGTCCATTATGAGTATCGCAGTACGTATGACTCGGTCAACGTGGCTTGACAGCGCCCTACAGTTATTGAATAGCCCCGTTACGCTGAGTTGAGCACTCTGTTTACATGGTCTTGAAAATTCCAACCCCTTTGAGTATTACCTCTCAAGCTTTACAATGGTAGACTCCTGAGAGTCAATATTTCCGCGGTTGTTGGTTCCTCCACAATGAAGAAGTGGATAAACATTGCAGGACAGACACAAACTTTCGTCGGTCAAATTCTTCTATCAAATTCTGAACGATAGTTTGAAACTATGTGGATTCGTCCAGAGTCGTAATAGGTAAGGAAACGTTTCTGTTCTAAATAGGACACTAAGAAGGTTTAGGATGGGTAATAGGTCAACGGTAGGGAAGGAAAAGGTTTCTTTTGGGAGGGGGGGTGACACTTCTTGCTCCGCGTTACAAGCGACAAACTCTGTGAGGCGTTTTCATGAATGTACCTTCGTGAATGCGGCTACGCTAGATAGTTTTCCCTAACTTCGAAAGCTTTGGTATCTTTTCTCTTCAGGTGTTGGTGACGAAATTAAGTAAATAAAGATAAGAATAGAATTTTATGATATTTTAGCTTTCTTTGGACAGTACAATTGTAGCGACTGTGTGTACGTCTCGTCTTACGAGAGGAGGGTACTGAAATTCCTGATTTTTCACTGTACTGTTATGTTCACTGTTTTCACAGTCTCTTCTGTACCGTGAATTTATCATTATTACAGTTAAGAAATAATTCCTGGACTATCTAACACTATCAGTCCGTGTTTCCACTGAAGACCCGGCTTACTAAATCATGGGAAATGCAGACGACAGTGGTGTGGACGTTGTTTTTCGCGGGTCGGTTTTTTACAAAATAAACACTTAGAGACCCACATATTTTGTAAAGCTTTATTCCTTGTGTATGTGGCAGTTGTGTCAAATCTTGATACAGGTCGTTTATTTCTGGGCACGAGCCGTCGCAATGCAGTGACCCTCTTTCCAGCGTCATTGTTATGATTTTTGAAAATGACCGATTTTCCCTTTTCCGACAAAACGATAAATAAATACTTTGCATGCAAATAACAGCTGTATGAATTGACTATGTTTATTTGACTTTTTAATTAGCGAAGTTACTGGCAACAAACACGGCGCACTTTTGCATGATAAGATCAGTAAATAATCCGTCCGAAGTTAGGGCACCCCCGTTAACTATGTGTATACGATATAATTCATCATGTTGAATCGTGTGGCGCGAACAGTAGCGTGTTCGGCTCAGACCACTGGTCGCGGTTTTGAATCCTGCCTTGTCACCGAGGTTGTACCCTTGGGAAACAGACACCGGGGTCTATTCTGGTTTACTGTCAAGAGCTCGATACAACCATTTCACACCGTTATACAAACACCAAACACACACACACACACACACACACTCACACTCACACACACACACACACACACACACACACACACTCCTTTGGTACTAGTATACGCTGGCGGCACTGGTGCATGGTCAGTTTATTTTTCCATTGTTCGGATTCACAGGTAAGAGGCCTTTAGTAAGGTAAAACAAACACATTCAGAACTAGACTCACCCGTACACTTGGGCTTTATCTCATGTACCATTACGGTAGTAAGGCCACAGCAAGTACTTTTTTTACGGATGACATCAGCGCGCGCATCAATTTTCGTCTGATTATGATGTCCCCTGACAGTGCCGGAACGTGGATGGTAGATAAATATGAAGCGAGGAGAAACGACAAGGCTCTGATTAAATATGAATAGAATGTTTTTGACTTAATGCAGTGATGTATTTTATTCCTTTTATATGTGATGGAGGCTGTACATATGTAATGTTCCCACTGAATCAAAAGATATCATTCGTGTAATAATTGAAATCCTTTATTTATATGGTTGTTTCAGCGAGAAATGAATGTTGTAATAGTTGACAGTAAACCTAGCACAATTCAGGTATCATTTCTTGTTTTTCACGGTTTATGGTGTCAAAATTTGAAAATGTAGAAACCTTTTTTTCTTTGGCCTGCCTTGTTTTTTTCGCCCTGTCTGCGGAGGATGTCATCCATAAATTTACTTGCTATGGCCTAACATGCTTGGCCAGGGGGTTAACGAATGTACAATGTATG